AAAGAGCTCACAGTTTCGAATATGATAATATTATGAAGCGAGAAAGTTTGATAAATGCCGTCATTTGAACAATGTGCTTGAGCAGGCGGCTGCTGGACATAGGGATGGTACAATGTCGTGATGGAAACTTCACTCAACTACGGTTGAGAATTCGCTTTAAGGTTAATTGCTATGAGCAAAACCGATGACTTAAATTTGGACCTTTAAGGTCCCTCGGCCAAAATGTGTATCCTGCGATATGTATAGCATCAACCAAATAAAAGGAGTATTGAAAGTAATTCCAACGTCAACAGCTCTTCAGGCATGATTGGAGTAAGAGATTCTATCCCATTATTAACTGATTATCAGTTTAGCCAGCTCCGAATCTCCAGCCCGTTTCGCTTCTTCACTCGAAGTCAGGCCGGCGTTGTCTATGAGTCCAGGAATAGCTCCGGATTCTAACAGCGCCAGGCAGACTCCTCGGCGTTGGCTCCAGGCTGCCATGTGAAGCGCCGTCTGGCCCCTGGTATCCGGGGGATGGGAATGTGAGAGCAGCATTGCGTATGCATGCGAGAGAATAGGCAAGTTATGATCAAACGGAAAATCATATACTACAAGACAGAGGTAAGCAAAGATTTAAAAGAAAATAGGACAACTGTAAAGTACGCCTTATGTCTGGTTACCAGAAAATTTGGGAAAACAATCATCGGGTGGAAGCAGTTTTCAAGACAGACTTACTCGGAAATCTAAACATAAATTTGGTGGTCATACGCTCAATTGGCTCAGATAAAGTATAAAATAATATAAGTTACTATTGGCTATTTTGGACTAAGAATATCAGTCGTTATGAGCCTAACTGAATTAATCTTGGCCTGGCATAACAAGCGGTAAAAATTTATGAAAATTAATTTTAGTTCCTACTCTACCGACAGCGTTCACGCGTTGCTATAATGATCTGGCCAGATAATGAGTGGTCGTTTTCTAATGTTAGCCTTCTTGCCTACTGCACTCTCTATTTCTCTTTATTTTCATTCGGCAAGTTCATGTTTGTTTATCGTATAGATGATCACATCAAATAGTTGACTGTGAGAGCAGTGATACAGGTCTGCACCCAAAACTCATTCCTGCTTTACTTCAGCAGGAAAGGCTAATTAATGAATAATATAAATAATATGATATCATATAATATAATACAATATAATTTGGTATTTGTTTTGTTATATATATATATATATAAGTTTATTTTATTGTATAACATTATTTCCATATTTGTAGTGAGTCTGAAATGGAGCTTAAATCTCAGAACGAAACGATTCTTGTAACATAATCTTTGGTGGCCTTCTATTAAACAGTGTGTCTTCCTGCCTATTTTCAATGTAAAGCTTATTTTCAAGATAATCATACTGGTCAATTGTTATTCGTATGCACAAGTTTCATATTTACTCAGAGTTGAAGAGAAGACTCG